CCCCTGCCAGAGATGCCTAAAGGCAAGGGAATGTGGCCCACACTCAGCTCCTCCCCTCCCTCACCTGGTCTTCTGGCGCGAGGCGTGACCTATACAGCTCCCCAGATCCACGGCCGACCTCAGACCCAAGCCAGGGCCCTGACCTTAGGCCAGCAGCATTGGGCACTTCCAACACCTCAGCCAGGGCAGAGCCCATACATGCCATTCCCTCCCCAGTGTTTTGCTGACCCCCCCCCCAATGTTGCTGACCCCTTTTTGGTCAGGAGGATCTTACAAATCATCTCTTCTTAAGCTTAGAGCTTCCACCCATAGACATGAAATGTCTTCCACAATTTCAGGGGTTCCCGGGCTCTCTGAAGTCATCCCAGACCACACAGTAAGAACCCTTGATCCAACTCGACTACTACTTTAAAAATAATAATAATAACTGCTTTATTGAGATGTATTTCACAAACCATAAAGTTCACCCTTTAAAACATGCAATTTAGTGGTTTTTAATGCGCTGTGCATCAATCACCACCATCTAATTCCAAAACGTTGTCATGACTCCAAAAAGAAAAACCCCGTCTCCCCTTCCCCCAGCCCCAGGCAACCACTAGTCTACTTCCTGTCTCTATGGGCTTGCCTACCTTGAACATGCCATATAAATCATACAACATGTGGCCTTTCACGTCTGGCTTGTTTCACTGGGCATAGTGTTTTCAAGATTCACCCACATTGTGGCATGTCTTGGTACTTCGTCCCTAAAGCCCAAGTCAGGTCACGTCTCGTCTCTGCTCAGAACACAGTCCATCCTGGTGCCCATCAGGTTGATACTATTACATAACAATAGCAGGTCATTTTCCTAGAGTGTTTCCCATGGGGCCAGGATCTTAGGAACGCTATCTCCTTGCATCCAACAGAATCCTTGAACCCTAAGAGTTGGGGATGATGAGCTCAGAGCAGTTAGGCGACTGCCCCAGGTGACCCGGAATGGCATCAGCAGATGAGCCCAGGTATCTGGCCTGACCCAAGAACGGAGCTCCTTAAACCTCTGAGCCATAACTGCCACACTCTGGAGGAAGAGGAAAACAATCGAAATGGAAGCCGCTGGGCGAGCTCTGGGCTCCAGGCGAGACTCGCAATTCACGCGCGCCCGGGTCCTGCCCAACAGCTCTTTGATCTTGGCAGTGCCTGTGGCCCCGCTGACCCCGCCGTGAGTTATGGGGGCCGCGGGACTCATAACACAGCATTCCCGGACTCCCAGGGTCTTTAGGACACGGCGCC